AGCTCAATACATATATCTTATTAACCAAGCGCGAGGGCCGTACTGGGAGAATATCGGCCCGAGGTCTTGACAGTACGGACCTCGCTGCGCTCGGTCCGTACAAAAAAGATCGAGGGCCGATTTTTTTCCAGTACGGTCCCAAGCTAGCTTGGTTAATAAGAGATTTATTATACGACTGAAGTTCAAAGGGACACAAGTGCAGTATCATTCGGGACCATTCGGGAAAGTGCCCGGTCCAATACTGAGAGAATATTTATCGGCAATAGAGCATTTTGATTGGTTGATTTTAGTTATTGGCCCTCTGACTGCCCGAGTCGTGTAATAAGCTACTGCTCACCTTCGCATACGAATTCGCTGTTCTCCTTAAGCTGGTATCCCAGTTTACATGCGCAGTGGTAGCTTCCAGGGGTATTGATACAATACCCGTGGCTGATGTCGCATCCCCCACTGTTGGTCCTGCATTCGTCTTTGTCTAAATATGAACAAAAGATAAATCATTGAATTAAAACGCCTACTGGTATATTCGCGAAGAAATGAGGTGCAATTCGAAAACCGGTACCGGTGTTGCAATATCTTTTTCAAACAACCATGTTGCTTCGCACGACCAAAGGTATTTCAATTTTTTTGTTTGTGTGATTATTTGTTTGTTTTTTTGTTTTTTGCATCAACTGTTTCATGGTACGAGGCTCTTGCAATGGCCTTATGACCATCATGCTGGACTCCAGTCAAGAACTTCTTACTCTGAACCTTAGGCAACCCATTTGGCTTTTCCTAACCAAAAACCTTAATCCTCACGATAAAAATAGGTGCCGGCCAAAGTTTCAGAAATTTTCGATAAGTCTGTTATCGAGGGAAAGGAAAAATGTCCGTTGTCGCTTATCGTTACGAAATCCGGGATAAGCTTTGGTGGTAAGGGCCTGTTGACTCGCGTGCAGAGCGTCCCTCGTATTTTTTTTAATTAAGTTATGCTCATGATCAACTGTCAAGCCGAAACAGAGAAAAAATATTCATGCTTCCGGCTTCTTCTTTTACATTGAAGATAGTTTTCGTGTGATTTGTTTATCAGTCTTCAATTCATTTCTTGCAGAAAAGAAGGCTTTAAATTTATTACTCAATATGGCCTAGGAAAGCATGACCATCTCAATAACTATACCAAGTGATTGATTTTTAATCAGGAAAGCAGTGTTGCATGCGTTCTTTGTTTTCTTCAAACAGAGCATGAAATGCCTTGCCACCATAACTGGGCATTTACATGCTGCTTATCGGATTATTGCGCTTTCATCCGAAAACGTGACGATTCTTCCACAATTTCGATATTATCAGAAAGTTGACATAAGAAAAAAAAACAAACTGATGCCTCCTTACTCACCGACACAAGTTATTCCATCGTAAGCGAGAGTGTAACCAGGCCAGCAACCACACCTGACTCGAAGATTACACAAGTTATAACAAACCTGTGAGCAGCCGCCATTATCAAGTTGACAAAGATCTGCAAAGGAGCCTACAAATGATTGAAGACCAAACACAAGTTAATACTTACAACTAACAATAGTTTTCCGTCAGTCGATGGCTTGGTCAGTTCGCCTTCAGACTTCTTAACGCTCGAGTGCGTATTTCGTATAAAAATCCATCTCTTGAACAGTCCACCTGAATACTCACCAACTCGAGAGTAAACTGCAACTTCACACATGGTTAGAATTCCTTCCCCAAACATCTGCACTGACACGTATCGACCTGGGATTGGTGGATCACACTGCACCCTTAGACCTTGTCCCTGGCC